TTTTAGAATTGCAGAAATACTCAAAGTAATGTACAATATCTAGCTCTGTATCCTGTCTAAATGGCCAATCTACATTAGGTGGATTGGTGAATATAGAGTTGGCATTGGATTTTCCAAATTAACCTTAACAAATTATCTGAATGGCATGAAATCTTCATTCTCAGGATGAAATTCATTGCTCAATAATTCTGAAAAATCATCTTCAAGTTCACTGTGACTTCACTTCATTAATCAGTAATTCCCCCTCAGTATTGTCTTCTGAGTCAAACATTTTCGGTGATAACTAAAATGCAGAAAAACAAAAAAATGTTGATTTATCACAACATGGAACAACATAAATAATGTGCATATTGTTGAAGAATAAAAATAAATCTAATGTACTTATGATAAATCTTTACAGATTGTAGCACAAAATTACAGGTTATTTTTCACAATTAGTAAAAGAAAATAACTTATTAGATTTCACTAGAAACAAACACCAAAGGCAAATATAACATTTTAAATAAAGTATGCAAAAATAATCAATATAGAAGAAATAAACAGATATCTGAGCATAACCCCTGCAAATAAGAATCCACTGGTTGAAGTGACACCTGCCCAAGCGATGCCCGGAGTAAACTCTTAAGTGCTTAATGTGCACCTAGGACAGGAACTGACCACTCTGCTTTGTGGTCCCCATTTTTAAATCTTCTAATCACACCCAATTTTACTTCCATCATTACCATTTTTTGTGTCATTGTTATTGTCACCTTTGTTGATGAATTCCTTCTTGTGATTATCCATTTCTGGGAACTGTCCCGTGATTTCTCCTCTCCTAGACAGGAGGTAACAAAACTATGCCTTTTGCCATTTGTGAGCTAAATAACAGATGCTTAGTAAGGACCAACCGCCGGACCTGGAAAGCCGTGTAATGGGTCACTGTTCATAATGTACATGTTTTATTTGGGTAAGGACTATGAACTAAAGAATTAGCAGTGAAATTTTTGTGGCTTTTTCAGTTACAACTCTTGCAACTGAAACTTCAGCCATGTGGCCAGGGGACTGGTATTATTTAACTAAATGGCAGTCAATGAAACTCATACATGGGAAAATTGCAAAGCAAAGAGTATGGGTACCTGAAAAGAAAAAATCTTTTTTTCACAAAATAATCAAATTTTAATTCAATTTATTGAGCTACTAATCAAACCTCACCCTAAACTAAATGAAGCTTTTCCCAAGAAATGCAGTTTCAAAAGTGAACTGCTCAGTGGGGCTAGAATAATGTCAAGAGATAACTGAATGAAGAGTATGTCAAAGTAGGACTGACAGACGGTCCAAAGATACCCTTGAGAATTTGGATTCCCCTTCTCATTTCAATAATCTCAAAGTCTCCGAAGAGTAAAATTCTAGACAAAACAATCATCACAATGCACAAGATGGTGTTGTACAATTACTCCACAACAGCCAGTACCAACTTTATATTTTAGCAAAACAGTAGCATCCATTCTATTAAGTACTTTAGTTTTAAACTTAGATTTGTATTAACTACAGACACAGGAAATTAACTTAATGCAACATAAAACCTTTCCCCTTTTTACTAGTTGTATATATCCCTCAAATCTGGAAAATGTCTATGATAAAACATCTAATTAACCAGGCGTGGTGGCACGTCTGTGATTGCCAGAGTTCAAAGCCACAACTACAGAGTGAGACCATCTCTCAAAAAACCCTAATTAATGACAGAATTTGTATCATATCAGAATTGGATTCCTATTTCCCAATAACTTTTCTATCTACCATTCTTCTTAATTCTAGGATAGCCATCTGCTGGCAGACATATGAGTCATTTGTAGAAAATCAAACGGTACATTAATTTCAGGAAGATGATTGTTAAGAATTTCAGGGACTGAAAGGAGGACATCATTTCTAAGACAAGACCAAAGTTTAAAATTTCTTTTTCTTTTTTTTTTTTAAATTTTATTTATTTTTTCTCAAGGAAACTTTCCCAGCCTCCTTCACTACTGATAGCAAGGCCTGGTCTTTCCCTGTCCTCAGGAACCCTGGCTGGCGGGTGGAGTCCTCCTAGGAAGTCCAGGAGCGGGCGCCCCACCTGCTGGGGAGACCCAGACAAGTTTCTGAGGTGTCTTCAGGCCACGCTTGGGCCAAGTGCACAAGTGAAGTGATGAAAGCAAGACACTGCTTCATAATAGCCACTTACACGCCTCAAAGGCTGTCCCGCTCCCACAGCGGGTGTGACTTGTCCCCCAAAATTTTTTAATCTACTTTTTCTCTCTGTCTGTCCTGAATCAAACCTATTTGGAAAACTATCCTGGAAATTGTATTTTTTTAAAAAATT